CATCCATCACCACACACTCCAGCTCGGGTACCTCGGGATTGCGACACCCATACACTACAGGGATGAGTCTGTAGTGCCCCTGAGGGAGTCCGTAGTGCCCCTGAGGGGACCCTTGAGGGATCTTTTTTTTTTTTTTTTTTTTTTTTAAGTCAGGAAATTTGCCTAAACCAAACTTTGCGTCCTGACCCTTGAGGGAGGGCCAGGAGGCTTCGTGGCGGATTCCCGCCCGTAGTATCCCGAAGGACTATCGGACGGGGTACCAGCCTAAAACCTGACTATAGCCCCTGGTCGTTAACGGGTATTGTCCACCGCGGAACCGCAAACGCATTACTTCACGGTGGACACCCATGACCTGGTCCTGTTAAGGACGCATCCCCGAGCAACTTGAGAAGTTGACCCGTCCAATGCCCTCACCCCGAGAGGGTAAAGAGGAGTGAGCCGGCTATCAGCCCACTCCCGACCATCCCGTGGTCGACGTGCAATGGAATTGGAGTCCCCACTCCTCTTCCTTGCCAACCAGAGTGGCGAGATGACCGCAGTCATCCACCCAACATGAATTGACGTCACAGGACATCACAAACTCAACGTGTACATATACACAACCACAATGAAGACCAACTAGGGGCCACAGGCCCAGCTCCTAAAGAGCCCATACTGAGGCCCAAAGGCCATCCACAATAAAGGCACTAAGGCCGACAACGAATAGAGGGGGGTGGACAGATGAACGTCCACCTCACATGTATACAAATACACAACACAGACATTTACTTGGCGGGAGCGAGGAGGCCACGGAGGCGCCTCTCAGCAACCTCCCCGGAACCCCCCGCAGCCCACCGCTACCTACTAAACATAAAAACGGACTAAGGACAGAGGGCGTAACCGGACCAAAGGTCCCCATTTTACTGGGGAGCAGTAAGGCCGCAGCCCTCATAATAACATTAGACAACATACTAATCCGACATTAACTCCGTCGGGGCACAGGAGGACGTAACAGACGCACCCCTCGACACGCTCCGCCGCCCCCCCGCAATCCCCGACGGACCCGCCACTGGACTGGGGACCCTCACCTCAGTCTCCCCGTCAGGCGCCCTGGAGTCTGCCTGCGCCCAGAGGGAACAGACTCCCTGCCACCAGCCAATCTGCGAGGAGGCACACACCTCCTTGCACATGCGCTAGAACCCGCACGATGATTCGCCGGCTTCCCACTGATGCTGCAGGGCACACAGTGAGGCGGCGCTTCACATTTCGCAGCCGAATGCCCCTCCTTTCCGCACCTAAAGCAGCAGTTGCTGCGAACAACCTCAGAGCCACACCTATTGGACGAATGTCCAAAGGCATGGCATCTGAAACACTGTATGGGCCGACGAGCCAGCGGAGTAACCGTCAGCCTCGCCCAACCCACAACAATGCTGCCCTGCACCCCCAGTCTTCGCGCAGCCACAGCCGGACATCGGACCCAAAGAGTGCCAACCTTGGATTTAGGGGAAACACGGATCTCCCCCGCCTTCAAGTCAGCAACACTACATCCACCTGACACCGCCAAAGAAGACAGAATCTCATCCCTCCGCATATAGGCCAAAATTCCTTGGACTCGTATTTCCTCCATACGAGAGGGGTGGCCAATCCTCACACCACTATCGGGCGGGAAGAGTCTGCGAAGCTCGCCAGACAAAGCTTCCGCCTTGCAACCGGAATCCCGTCCAGGAATGGACACCAGGATGCTGCCCGTAACACCCCGACGCAAACGGGTGCCAGAAATCCCCAGACTGGGCAGGTCCACCTCTTTCATGGCCCTTGATAGGACCGAGGCGTACGTCTCCTCCCGCCCCTCCCCCTTAATTGTCAATGAGACCACCGACTTAGAGGGGAGCCTGGCGGGACGATGAGTCCGCTTTCCCCCCTGGGCAGAGTTGTCCACTGTAGCAGCTCCGTCTTTAGAGGAGGCTCGTCTAGGCCCACGCCTACGACGTCGCCTCTTAACCCTCCTGAAGGACCCGGGACCAGGGACATCCGCCGAAACCTCCGCAGAAGCGGAGGCGGCGGAGCCCCCGGCTACGGGACCAGACCCCGGCACACCAATGCCACCTCCTGTGCTCGCCAAGGGCGCACCCATGAAAACCTCTCCCGATGGAGAGGCCCCAGACCGCCCCCCGAGCAAGGGCCTCAAATTGGCCAGGACTGCCGACGTGATGTCGACCCTCAGGCCGGCAAACCTCTTGTCGAGGATGGCCGAGAGGTCCGCAACCGTAAGAGGTGCGACCCCGGCAGCACCTCCTCTCGCTCCGTCTCGTCCTTTGCGGATTCCGGAGAGGCTTCCGCACGCCGCCTCTTCTTCGGGGCTTTCTTCAGAATTCCATAGAAGGCCGCATCCTCCAGCTGTGGCATGACAGCTCGGACGGCAGCCATCTCGCCAGCCACCCTGTCACGATCCCTCTCGAGAGCCGAAATTCTCTCCCTGAGCCCCAGATTTTCGCTCCGGAGAGCTTCAATCTGGGGGTCAGCCTCGAGGACAATACGCCCCTCCATCTCTTGAAAGATGCTCCCCAGTCTCATCGAAGAGATCCGTAGATCCCTGGCCACGATTGGATCGAGACCAGAAACCTCGGCCGCCTTCTCCACTTGGGAAGCAGACACCTCCACCAACCTGCTGAGTTCCAGGTTGGTGACACTCCGCAGGCTAGCCCGGAAAGCCTCGCCTGACGGAATGTTCTCCGAACCTACCGCAGACAACTCAGGTCCAAGATTGGGGTCCAGGAGCCTGCGGATGTCCGCCAATTGGAGCTCTCGTTCAGTAGCCTGATTGAGACGCTCCTTGGCCTCAGCCAAGCCAACATAGTCCCCGGTCTTTTTGGGGCGACCCCGCGTTTCCCTTTTCGCTCTAGACGTACCCGGTTCTGCCCTCCTGAAGTACTGCTTCCGTCCGGTCAGCAGTCTCTTGTCTGAGGGCTGCCACTCCACGTCCATCACGTCCTCAGCTGAAGAAGGAGACGAGATGGAGAGGACAGAGGGTCCAGCAGCCAGCTGGTCCTCGTCTCCACTGGCCCCGCGCACTATCTCCGGCGACCGAAGATGCTGTGAACAGTCACTGCCCGAACTCACTGGTGTGTCCACCAAGGACCCTGATGCACATTTAGCGTCTATCAGGTCCGCAGCGTCCACACACACGTGGGACACACAATAACGGGTCTGGCCGCGAGAACACCTGTTCAAAAACTCTCTGACATGCATCGCCAATCTGCGATACATGCCAAGAGGGCGAAAGACACTCACTTCTTCGTCCCGAAGGACTCGGCGAAAACACAGCGCGAGTTCCTTCGGATCAACACTTAGATCGCGTTCCTCCCAGTAGGTCACTAAGTCAATCAACTCTAGTTCGACCTCGTCGATTGCACTTCTCGGCACTGTAGCAAACAAGTCCCTGAGCCCAGCCGGCAAACTCAGGGACGACCCGTCACTCGATGACGACGAGGGGAGAGCCAGGCCTACACCCCCCCCACGCCGGTTCCTAGTTACCGACCCTAGGACGATCTCTTCTTTTTTCTTTCCTACCATAGTGTTCTGAAAAAAGAAATTGGTTTTTTCTGTCGGGGGTTTTCCTTCCCCTTAGGAGGTTGCCTTACTCAGCTAACGGGGCCTCCCCCCCGGGTGTTATCTTCGGTGTTTTCCTTCACCTAGTGCAGTGGACAAGTCCTTTCTAGGGCCTGCACCCCATCGCACCTCGTTCATCCATCACCACACACTCCAGCTCGGGTACCTCGGGATTGCGACACCCATACACTACAGGGATGAGTCTGTAGTGCCCCTGAGGGAGTCCGTAGTGCCCCTGAGGGGACCCTTGAGGGATCTTTTTTTTTTTTTTTTTTTTTTTTTAAGTCAGGAAATTTGCCTAAACCAAACTTTGCGTCCTGACCCTTGAGGGAGGGCCAGGAGGCTTCGTGGCGGATTCCCGTCCGTAGTATCCCGAAGGACTAGCGGACGGGGTACCAGCCTAAACCTGACTATAGCCCCTGGTCTTTGACGGGTATTGTCCACCGCGGAACCGCAAAACGCATAACTTCACGGTGGACACCCATGACCGGATCCTGTTAAGGATGCATCCCCGGGCAACTACGTTGCCCGTCCAATGCCCTCACCCCGAGAGGTAAATAGGGGGGAGCCGGGCTATCAGCTCACCCCCCGGCCATCCCGAGGCCGACGTGCAATGGGATTGGAGCCCCCACTCCTTTCCCTGCCAGCCTGTTAGCGAGATGACCGCAGTCATCAGCCCCACATAGAATGACGTCACGGGACATCACGAACTCGACGTGTACACTACATGTATACACAACCACATTAATAAATAGAGACCAAATAAGGGCCACAGGCCCGACTCCTAAAGAGAGCCTACATTAAAAGGCCGACAAAACAAATAAAGGTGGGGAGAGATGTACACCCCACCTATTGACGAAAGACAAAAAGACCAGAACAAACATGAACTTGGCGTAGGTGAAGGGGCCGCGGAGTTACCTCTCGGCAACCTCCCCGGCACCCAAACACCTATCGCCGCTACCTACTAAACAGAGAACGGACTAAAAGACAGAGAACGTAACCGGACCACAAGAATCCATTATTCCTGGGGAACAGCAAGGCCGCAGTCCTCAAACAACAGTAGACAATCACAAGTCTGACATCAACTCTGTCGGGGCACAGGAGGAAGCCACGGACGCACCTCTCGATACACTCCGCCGCCACCCCCCCGCAATCCCCGACGGGCCCGCCACTGGACTGAGGGGCTGATCACCAATCCCCTCATCAGGGCGCCCCTGAGCCTGTCCACGATTAAAAGGGACAGTTCCCTTACCTGTAAGCGTCCTGCAAGGGGGTACACCTCTCCTGGCACACCCCCCGAGCCTGCACGGTGGTCTGCCCGCCTCCCACTAATGGCACAGGGGACACAATGGGGCCGCGCCACACAGACGGCCGCTAAGTGCCCCTCTTTCCCACACCGGAAACAGCAGCCGCTACGAACACCTCAGAGCCACACCTGTTAGACGAGTGTCCAAAGGCGTGGCATCTGAAACACTGCATGGGCGACGGGCCAACGGGGTAACCGTCAGCCTCGTCCACCCCATGCGAACACTACCTGAAGCGCCCAATTTGCGCGCAGCTCCAGCAGGGCACCGGATCCAGAGAGACCCGATGTTTGATTTGGGAGATACACGTATCTCCCCCGCCTTGAGGTCGGCGACACTGCATCCACCAGCCTCAGCCACCGACACCAAGATGTCTTCCCTCCTTATATAGGCCAGCACGCCACGGACCCGTATCTCCTCCGTACGACAGGGACGGCCAACCCTAACCTTGCCTTCGGGTGAAAACAACCTGCGAAGCTCGCCCGACAGAGCATCCGCCTTGCCAGCCGAGTCCTTCCCCGGAATGGAGACCAAGATGCTCCCCGTCACACCACGACGGAGACGAGAATTGGTGATGCCCAGACTGGGCAGATCGATCGCCTTCATGGCCCTGGAAAGGACCGCCGCATAAGACTCCTCCCGCCCCTCCCCCTCAACCGTCAGAAAGACCACTGACTTAGAGGGGGGCTGGCAGGAGGAGAAACCCGTCCCTCCTTCTGGGCAGAAGTGCCCAGAGGAGCAGACACCTCCTTCTCAAAGGCACGCCTAGGCCTACGCGCACGACGACGCCTCCTCTTCTTTTGGAGGGCCCGGGCCAGAGGCATCCGCCGGAACCTCCGCACGGGCGAAAGCAGCGGAGCCCCCAGCCACGGGACCAAGTCCTGGAGCACCAGCTCCACCACCTAGACCTATAGGGGGCTCGTCCATGGATGCCCCTCCAAATGGAGGGGCCCCAGGCCGCCCCGCAAGCAATGGGCCCACCCTGGCCAGAACCGCCGATGTAATATCGACCCTTAGGTCGGCAAACCTCCTGTCCAGGATGGCCGAAAGGTCCGCACCGTGAGAGGGTGCGACCCCGCAACACCTCTTCACGCTCCGCCACGTCACCTGTGGGCTCTGGAGAAGACTCCACACGCTGCCTCTTCTTCTTTGGAGCCTTCTTCGAGGCCCCGCCAAAGAAGTGCTTCTCCTCCAGCTCCGGAAGAGCAGCCCGAAAGGCACCATCTCGTCGGCCACTCTATCTCGTTCCCGCTCAAGGGCCAAAATCCTATTTCTGAGCCCCAGATTTTCACTCCGAAGAGCTTCGATCTGGGGATCCGCTTCAAGAACGATACGCCCCTCCATCTCATGGAAGATATTCCCTAGCCTCATCGAAGAAATCCGGAGATCCCTGGCCACGATCGGATCGAGACCAGTAACCTCGGACACCTTCTCCACTTGGGAAGCGGACGTCTCAGCCAGTCTGCGAAGCTCCTGGTTGGTCACATTCTGCAGGCTGGCACGGAAAACCTCATCCGACGGGATGTTTTCGACGCCCACTGCGGACAACTCCGGGCCAAGATCCGGGTCCAGGACCCTACGGATGTCCGCCAACTCTAGCTCCCCGCTCCACCGCCCTGTTGAGACGCTCTTTAGCCTTGGCCAGATCAACGTAGTCCCGGTCTTCTTGGGACGACCCCGTTTCTCGGCTTTAGGCTTTGACGTACCCGGCCCAGATCTTCTAGGGTACCGCTTGCGGCCAAACAGCAACCTCTTGTCCGAAGGCTGCCATTCCTCATCCGCCTCGGGAGACCCGGCGAACTCGGCGAGGAGATGGTGACAAAAGAAGCCTCCGGAAGCTCTTCATCGTCACTCCCTCCACGAACTATTTCTGGGGAACGGAGATGCTGGAACAGTCACTCTCCGACCCCAACGACGAACACATTTGTTCACCCGACGCGCACGCAACGTCAATCGGGCTCACAACACTGACACACGCGTGGGAACCACAGAATTCCGTCTCACCGCGAGAGCACTCTCGAAAGTATTTCCTAACGTGGCCCGCTAGCCGGCGATACATCCCCAGCGAGCGGAACACTTTCACCTCACTATCCTGAAGAACTCGGTGAATGCACCACACGAACTCTCCAGGATCCACACTACGGTCTCGATCCTCCCAGAGACCATCTAGGTCACAGAGCTGAGACTCGACCTCAACTATAGCCTTCTTCGGCACTGTCGCATATAAGTCCTTGAGCCCAGCCGACAAACTCAAGGACGACCTGTCGCTAGATGACGACGAGGAGAGAGCCAGGCCTACGCCCCCCCTCCGCCGGTTCCTGGTATCCGACTCCAGGAAGTCTTCTCTTTTCTTGGACGTCATCTCATGAAACAAGAAAAAATTGGTTTTATCTGTCGGGGGTTTTCCTTCCCCTTAGGAGGTTGCCTTGCCTGGCTAACGGGCCCCCCCCCGGGTGTTATATTCGGTGTTTTCCTTCACCTAGTGCAGTGGACAAGTCCTTTTTAGGGCCTGCACGCCCATCGCACCTCGTTCATCCGTCACCACACACTCCAGCTCGGGTACCTCGGGATTGCGACACCCGTACACTACAGGGATGAGTCTGTAGTGCCCCTGAGGGAATATAACGACTTACACCAGCATCTATATAACCTTTTTTTTTTTTTTTTTTTTAAGTCAGGAAATTTGCCTAAACCAAACTTCGCCGTCCTGACCCCTGAGGAGGGTCAGGAGGCTTCGTGGTGGATTCCCGCCCGTAGTATCCCGAAGGACTATCGGACGGGGTACCAACCTAAACCTGACTGAAGCCCTTGGTCGTATGGGTATGTCCACCGCGGAACCGCGTGAGCATTACTTCACGGTGGACAACCCGACCGGCGTCCTATAGGAGGACACATCCTCCGAGAGGATACTACAAGTATCCCCCGGAGAGGACATCCTTGCCCCGAAAGGGCATCGAGGGGAGCCGGGCTACTAGCTCCCCCCCGGACTTCCCTGGGTCGACGTGCTAATGGGATCGGGGCCCTCA